TAAAACCAGCGAAGTGAGATTTTATTATTTTAGAGCCATTTCTCCACACTTTATTTTAAAATTTATTAATTATGAAACATCAGAAGTTTTTCCATTATGAGAAGCACTTAAACGTAGCTTTGTCTAAATGGTTTTAGTATACTATTCGCTTAAAATAGTTATTATATAAAAAATTATATATAATATAGTTCGACTGCGTCCAACGCAACCTTGGCTAGCATCCTGCCGAAAGGCAAGGATCGTCAGGAGGGATGTTAATTACATGCCGCAGGTTGAGGAGGTTACTTGAGAGATCCCTTCTTTCCGGATAAGGGAATTTACTATCAAATCACTTACTTCCCGTGTCGTGAAGTGATCCTGTCGTTAGTTATCTTTCGCGCCTGTATTTTATGTTCGCGGAAATTAGCGCGAAGATTCGCATTGATGTGCTACACTGAAAACCAAAAATATTGAAATTTTTTTTTTCCATTACACAGGAATTTTATGTGAACAGTTTATTTTTCATTGCTTGCTTTTAAAAATGATAACCTTAAAAATAATGGAACTATATTTTTAGCGGAAATATTATTCTGTAGTTTAAAAAAAATGGTTTACAGGTATCTACTACATTTGAACGGGATCAACGCTGGTCGTTTTTGATTTAATGTGACATTTGCGAATATTGTGATCTTTCATGCAAGAATTATTTTCGTTCTTCTCTTCTAAAATATATTTTATCCTCCCCCCCCCACACATATACTTCCTCTATGTTTAATATTGTATATTGTATATTGCACATTGCATTAACTTCCAGGTTTTCTTTCAATCCTTCCTATTAATATTTATTAATTTAAGCTTGCCGAAGCTTATTTCCTCTAATAAAAGCTAACAAATTTAAAAACATAATTAAAGTAATTTTCGAATTCGTATAGCCAATTTGGCGCCCCTGCTAGTCACACTTGCCTTCCCCTTGTCCCGGCTCTGTATTAGCATACTATCAGATGACTTAGTAATTTCCTGCCTCCTTAAATTTGTGCTCTCTGGATGCAGTGAATATACTCAGGGAAAAAATAAGAGCGGGAAAAAAATCCCTGCTGCATGATTCATGTTTCATCTTCCCTATTTCTTCAATAAATCGGTCCGAATGGCGCATGCGTGTTTGCTAATGCTCATGGTCGCAATCATCGCGGTTAAACTATAATTTAGTTAGTTCAGCTATGAGTCAGCGCCATGAGTTGGTTTTAATAAGTTAGTGTAATTTCATGAAAGTGTTTAATGTTTTTAGTGATAAACCCGAAACATTGCTTTCTTACAACATAATTTTAATCGAGTGTTACTTTCCGAGAAATCTGTACTTTAGGTGCAATAGAATTTATACCGTTAGCTGTAATGAATACAGCAGCTCATTATTCACTTTCTTTAATATGACACTACTTTTAATTATGCTTTTAAAAGGCCTGGAATGAAAAAAAGTTTTTAATTATTTTTTATTTTTTAAAAGCCAAGTGTGAAATAAAAGTATGGATCAGTTTATTTCTTTCCTTCATATCTTCTGCATTACATTTATATTATTTTTGGTATGCTATTGTATTTTCAGTATATACCGGTAATACTAGTTATTATCTCAAATACTGATTGTTTCATTTTATTTTGCTGTAGTTTTTATTTTTTTAGAATTCGATGTTAGGGGATACAATGATTGTCCCGTAGCATTTTTCGTATCTATTATTTCTATAGTAAACTCTTTTTCTCCTTTACCCATGCAACGAAGCTTGGTGAATTGTTTTCAAAGAACACGAAAAATATCAAGAAAGCAGCTTAAAATGATTGCATGATAATTTGGACAGATTAAACATAATTAATACTGAAGAATTTCCATTCGAATTAATTGCATGGTTCAACTAGGCATCTAAAATATTCAGATTACGATATAATACCTCGAAGAAGGATTTCACTTTAAAAAAGTGTAGAAAGGCTATGAAAATGAAAGTGTTCCTGTATCATTAACAGACAGATTAAATTTAAGAGTCAAATAATGAGAGTTATTATGAAAAGAAAAAAATGTATGAAGATTTTAATGAGTTCAACTAGCATAATTTTATGGGTTCAGCTGTAATTAATAACTATGGAGATGAAGAACTGTGTTTGTAGCTTTTAAATCGCTTATAATTTGTTAATCAGTAACACACAGATTAAATCTGAAATAAACCTGAAATATCCCGTTTTGCCGAATGGCAGCACAGTGAGGTGTGGAATATAAAGATATTTTACTTCCTGAATTGGCAGCACGTTGCTTTTAAAGAGACGAATTTCTTTAATAAATCTAAAAGCTGAATATCTTAACGTGGTTACACAGTGGGTGCGCAGGTGATAAAAAGTGTTTTATTTGGAACAGTGCCAACTATTGCTTTTAAATCACTGAATTTGTTAATCAAAAATTCATTAAATTCTCATGACGTAGGAAGTAAATTTTTTAAAAAAGCTTGAAATTCAAAATTCAGGTATTCATGTAGGTGGAATATTATGTGTGTTCAAAATTTGGTGGCTCTAGGTACTTCCATTTTCTATAATGGGAAACATACATACATATATACGTAAATATGGATCCTCCATTAATAAAAGAGATAAAGATTGTGATTTTTTTCTTGTCGTAATATGGATTATAATTATTTCACTTTTGTCAATGACTGAATGGAAAACAGTTGGGATATTCATCAGGGTGTAAACGAAATCCATTATATTATTCGGTAAAAAATTAAACAAAGAGAAAACTATAGCAAACACATATAATATCAAGATGTTTTTCAGGATGTTGTGGCTTTGCTTGGTTTGCTCAATAAAGCTTCATTATTCTCTAATCGCTCGGAGATTATGGGCCTTAAAGAAAAAAAGAGTAGAAATAGTGCAATGACCTTGTTACAGAATGATATCATTTTAACTTCTCTGAATTGGTGACCTCGAAGAACTAAGATCACTTTAAGTCAAATAGAATTTTTTTTTCAAGTATTTTTTTCGCAGTTGAAGAAAGTTAGCAGAACAAAGAATAAAATTATAAGACGATATTCACACACACACACAACCCCCCAAAAAATTAAAAGCTTCCTGATTAATTTCGTGCAATTAAGTAAATTGGACAATCAAATTTTTGTGTTTTTATTGCAGTTCGTAAAAGCATTATCATAAAAATAAATAATATATAAAAAAAGATAACGAGGACAAATTCGTCGAAAGTTTAGAGAGAGATTAACTGTAAAAGGTGATTCTTTTAATCGAAACAATAATTAAACAGTACTATTAATATCAATCATAGTTGTTCGTAATTAACATTAGTAATTTCCAAATTCGCCAAAGCTAGCTTTTTTATATTAATTTCGAATGGAAGGTATAATTACGAGAATTTAAATACACTTTCTTCTTCAGAAACTAATTAATCAGTTGAAAAGGCAAAAATTTTGTGAAAAAATAAAATTATCTAATATGAGGGAAAAACAGAATTTTTAGAAGAACAGGATTTTAGTCCCTAAATCTTCACGTGATTGTTTTATACATTTTAGAAGAAACTAAAATATTACAGCCGCTGTAATTTCAGTTATGGGTCCTTACTATACTGTTTTCAATCTACTATGCGTCTTATATATTTTCATCAAAATTTGATATAGTTTATTTATTTTTATTACTTAATACTGATATTTACTGTAATGCAATGGTGTATTCTAGATGAATAATGTCTCAAAAGATGTATAAATATTGTAACAAAAGAATTTTATTCTCCATAAATAAAATTAAAGATTAAAAAAAAAAACTTACTTCAGTAACAGAGTAGCTTTCTACAGATCAAGAGTTTCTGAATGAAATGCAGATTCTAGTGGAAAATTCGTGCGATTCTTTTTCATTCATTTAAAATTATTAACCTTTAATAATTTAACACACTTAAAAACAAAGTTAGCATATCAAAATCGTAAAAACAACTTTGTATTTAGCGTAAGTATACTGAAACACTCAATCGATCGAATCATTATTCGAAGTTCAGATGTTGAGAGTGAAGGTGCAGTTGCCCCTCGCTCCCTATTTTTAACTTCGCTAATTTTTCTTGTCCTTTGTGTTACATGTTTGATCAGATAGCCTGGCTCAGTAAAAGTAGCGGGCCAGTGTAACTCTGATTAAAATCCGGTTATACCACATGCAGTGCTGATAAGGACCACGTTTTTTCTAAGACTCCTTCCCTTTTTTTCTTCTTCTATGTATTTCTTTCGCCTGATGAGGAGGAATCTTTAGCTGCCCTCGAAATCGATTGAGTGTTTCAATATACTTACGCTAAATACAAGGTTGTTTTTACGATTCTGATTGTCACATTAGCATGTTTCTCTTCTAGTCTAAAGTTAGCATGTGCTTAGGATTGTTAAACTTTCTAATTCTGCTCTTCCCCTTCCTTTCATAAAATGACTTTCGTGATTCCCTAAGTAACATTATCTGATGCAAAGCATATGCAAACAGTCATAAATACTATTATAGTATTCTGTTCTTCTCAGAAACTTACATAATTGTACAACAAAAATCCACAAAAACTCATTTATAACTCATAATTAGTTCAGTCATGATAAATATATAATAATTAGTATAATACAAGAGAACTCCTTCTCTTCCTGATTAATTTCGTGCAATTAAGTAAATTGGACAATCAAATTTTTGTGTTTTTATTGCAGTTCGTAAAAGCATTATCATAAAAATAAATAATATATAAAAAAAGATAACGAGGCAATAAAAGCACAGCGACGCAGCACGCATACTGCCAATAATTTGAAACTTTGTAGTGTTTTCAATAATTTTGCATGCTGAGCAATAAAATTAAAATGAGCAGTTTCTTATCTTCAAGAATATAACGCCACACACAAGAACACATCATCATGAAGAACGTATACACAAGAACATTTCATCATGAAGTCAAAAAATTATGTAAGTTTATAATTTTAATCTAATACTGTGTTTACAAACTGCTTAACTGAAATTCCTTCTTTTTCCAGGTGACAGCCAGTGTGTTGAGGAATCTATCTTGGCGTGCTGATCCAGCAAGCAAGCGTATGCTGCGAGAAGTTGGCGCTGTCACTACTCTTGTCAAAGCTGCCATGGAAGCTGAAAAAGAATCAACATTGAAAAGCATACTTTCCGCATTGTGGAATTTATCCGCTCACTGCAGTGGGAATAAAGCAGACATTTGCTTGGTGGATGGAGCTCTAGCATTTCTCGTTAGCACACTAACCTACAATAGCAAGTCCAAAACACTAGCCATTGTGGAAAATGGAGGAGGAATCCTTCGCAACGTGTCCAGTCACATTGCTATCCAGAACGATTACCGTGTAATACTTCGAAAACATAATTGCCTCCAAATACTTTTACAACATCTGAAATCTCCCAGCTTGACCGTTGTTAGCAATGCCTGCGGCACTCTTTGGAATCTGTCTGCCAGAAACGCCGTTGATCAGCGTGCTTTGTGGGAAATGGGAGCCGTTAGCATGTTAAAGAAGCTTATCAATTCGAAACATAAGATGATATCTATGGGAAGTTCCGCAGCGTTGAAAAATTTACTCTCTGCTAAGCCACCTGGTGTCAGTCTCGGCCTGTGTGTTCACAGCGATAGTTACAAAGGATGTACAGATGTTCCATCACTTCATGTCCGTAAGCAAAAAGCTTTGAGTACAGAAATTGATCAAAACCTAGCAGAAACCTATGATAATACTGACAGCCCCAAAACAAGCCCTGTTAAACAAGGAGTTCAGGACAAAACTAGAGACAGATCAAGAAGACACATATCGCCTTCCGCAAGATATATGACAGCACAAAAACAAAGGAATGATTTGATGAGCTTACAGAATCGACCGGCAGGTAGTGAGAAATTGAACTGTACTTACGTTGTAGAGGAGAAACACAATGGAGCTTTTCAGGTGACAAAGAATGCAAAACAAGCATTGAATTTTAGGCAAGGGCAAAATAGATTTCAGGCAGACGTAAAGGAAAATTATCAGCTATCAGAGGCTTATCAGTATGATGCCGATAAAAACACTAGTGAAAATAGTTATGAGCTTTCGAAACTGAATTTGGGAAGAAGCGATAAACAGGGATTAGCATCTAATGAACAAAATTTTACAAAAACCAGCAAGGTAGAAGATGCCACTTCCAGAAACGCATCACCAATGCATTCTGTCAAAAAAGAGAACAAAGCTACAGAACACCTCACAAATGTTCGTAAGTCAAGAATCATGAGTCGAGAAGAACAAAACCAAGCGCAAGAAAATATACCTAAACCTGCTGCTGACTCGAATAGTTACCATCTTAAACCTGCCCACGAAAGCAAGATTCCGCTTCCAAGATCCATGAGTAGAGGAGATGCTCAGAGAAGTCAGAGTGCGTCTCCTGTGGCTCAGAGAAGGGCTCAGTCTCAACGACAACATAGCTCTCAGATTGTAAATTCACGAAACGTCGATATCACAGTCACGCATCCCAAATATGCATGGAACGCTAGCTGCGAAAAGGAAGACAATGATCCTGAACAGACTTTCAATATGGGTAAAAAGTTGTTTAAAGAGAATAATTCTTATCAAGCGTCCGCTGAATATGGTAAATTTGTCGAGCCTTTTGCTGCTGGTGCACCACAGGCAGAAGATTACAGCTATAGTAGCGATGATGAAGTTAAGGTATACAATACGGAAAACACTCCTTTAAACTACTCTCGCAGATCTTCCATGACAGATTTAGAGGATGCGGTGGCTCCTTCTCGTTGTTCGCTGAACATTAAAACCAACACGAACGTTAAGTTGATGATGAAAAATCATCCACTTCTAACTAATACAGGTGGCCACAGAAATGACGAAGATAATTTAAGACTTTTCGAGTTCAGGAATGCGTCAAAAGATGATCGCTTCTTTGAAGGAGGTAAGAATGTATTTTAGTCCATTCTATTAGATTTATTATCCTTTTCGAAGTCCTTATTAATATTCACTTCAAATTATAAAGCGAAATATAAAGAAAGAATATGTATTTTATGTAAGGTCTTTAATGTATTAAGCCTTTCCTGAGGCTAGTTTTAACGAATAAGTTTTTAACTTTCTAATGTTATCTTAATTTTCCTGTCGAAATCTATTTTGTTTTGATCGTAGAACCTGAGTGTTCCTTTTGTTTTATTAGCATTTAAAGCAAAGAATATTCTCTGAAAATGTGATGCAAGAAAGTATTCGTTGCTTGTATATTTAAAACTAAAGCGTGAAATCATTGAACATAGCTTTACTTTTAATTTCTGTCTTAGCTAAGAAATAGTTGTAGCGGTATGATGAGTATATGAGTTAAGAAGTATGATCTTAGAAATCCTGCTTGAGGTAGGTTTAATACTCACGAGTTATGCCCGTGATTTATCTGATTTTACTCAAATTGTGGTTGTCAGAAAGACAGTATTTTTCTTTTAAGGCCGCGAATTTATTGTTTATGGACAGGAGGTAATAAGATTATATCGGGAATATGCCAGGGCACCCACAAGCAATCCCCTTCAGCTGAGAAAAATCGTAATCGCTGAAGAAGGGAACATTGCTTTCAAATTCTTCTTGCTCCAAATCACAGCACTGTGTAAATCATATCTTCTCAAGGCCATCAGTTAATTCACTATACGAAGTACTCTGCATTCTATTTTCAAAGAAATGCTTTGTGGAGAAATTCTATTATCAATGATGACTGCCATAATATGGCCTGGTGGAATGACTCTCATTTTCAGTTGTTTCAAACAGATGAGCAATTTGTATGCGAAACGAATAGTATTATGCTCTAGAGACGTCTTGAAAGTGAAATGTTTTGCGGCTGATCATGTTTGTTTCATGGCGTGGTATGTGTCCTGTATTTGCAGAGCAACTCAAGCAATACAACTAGAGACTTCTGACAGTAATACACATGTAACCCATTGCAAATCATCTGTATCCCTTTATGTGCACTATGATTCCCTGTGGTTTTGTTTGTGCCAAAATACTTTTCCAATCCCTTGCCATATATATGTGACTCCAAAATAGCTTAAAGAACATTATTAAATCATTTAACACTGCGAAAAAAAAAAGTGACAGTTCTATATCTCCCGTTCTACTGGGCCGATTGACGAAATTCAACTTGCGTTTTTCATGTCTCAAAAGCGTGGCTTATGATATGTACTAGGTTTATATATAGCCTTGTTCTAATGTAGGTTTTTTGACAAAATGGGACTTTTTCTGAAATGACTTGCCAATTTTTTCCCCATATTTCCATTCTACGACTCAAATTACGCCAAACTACCAAGTTTGTAAAACTCGCTCGAGTAGTTTTTAAAAAATTAGCTCTCAAAATTTTAGCTCCTCAATGTTAATTGAGTTTGACGTATATTTATTAATATCTCTTTTTTATTAAACTTATTTGATTCTTCCTTTCACATTTCGAAATTCAGGTTCATTTCAAATTAAAATTCACCCATTTTTTATGATTTATTTTTAAAATTTGTATTTTAAATAATTTTTACGAATTTTTCGAAAACCTTTTTGAGCTATAATGCATAAAATTTTTACCATCGTCTTAAAGTAGACGTATTTCGAAGCATACCTGCAAAAAATTACAGTTTTTGGTTCAAAATTTCCGAAGATATACGTGAATTTATATATTAGCGTGTTTTGAAATTTGGCATATTTGTTGAAAGCGATAAAACATCAAATGTGATTTAGACATTTTGTTAAAATTGTTTGAAAGTAGAAACGATGGGACTTTTTTTTCCGCTCATGCATAATGTAAAAAGATAGGAACGAGGAGCCTTTTTTTCCTCTCCCGCATAATGGAATGGAAAGGAAAATAGGTTGCAATATATTAAGAAGTTCGCCAAGTGAATTATTGTTGGCGCAAAGTGAACAGATTGTGCCATGATAAATTTTTGAATTTCTTCGTAAATTTCGCACCAAATTTTACAAAATTAAATAACTAGGCATAATTTGAGTCGTAGAATCAAAATATGGAAAAACATTGGTATGTTATTTCAGAAAAAATCCGATTTTGTGTCAAATTGCTTATGTTACAACAATGCTATATATAAATCTAATATAGTATATCCCAAGTCGCGCTTGCGAGACATGAAAACACAATTTGAATTTCGTCAATAGGCCCAGTAGAACAAGAGATATATAACTGCCCCCCCCTTTTTTTTTTTTTGAGCAGTGTACCTTAATGGCCCCTGCACTCAAATTTAAACTCTATGAAGCATTATCGGACTCTATATAAATATTAACGAACATTAATATTACAGATATTGCTGGAATATCAAGCAAACAGGACTGGATTATGGAAAGCCACGGAACGTGCCTAACTTTTATACCTTAACAACGACTCTAAAACTTTGTCCACTCAGCACCAAGTAGCTTCTGTTATTTTGAGATATTGAGGAGTTAGTCATTATTAGTTAACATTATCCTATTTTGCCACTGCAATTTATAACTTGCTTGAAAATGTAATGGAATTATAAATTATCGAAATACATACAGGTTTATCTATAGCATTATTATTTTGTAATACCTGATATTATCCATTAAAATATAATGACTATGGCAAAACCATTTCATACCCTTTAGTTGATAAAACTAGAATATTTCATTCAGCTGAGAATGGAGTGATTATCAGGTGTGCCAAAATTTGTATAATTCGATTCCCTACAGAGACTTCGTGCTCTTGTAGAAATTTTAAAAAACCACAGAGGTCACGAATATGGCAATTATTTTGTCAAATATTTCAATATTTTTGTCTCCAGCTCCTTAAACACCTGTTCTTCTCAAGTACAATGCTAATTACTGCTATAGAGTGTAATTCGCACAGACATTTTATTCTATAACAAGATGTGATAATTACATACAATGCTTAGAAAGCGTGTGGAAAAATATTTATATTACTTACATACTGTGTGGTTTATTGTATGAAGACAACGGAAATGCCATGCAAATAAGAATCAAAAAATCTTTTTGCTTAAAGTTTATCATAAGTGTTCAATTTTATTCTAAATATATCATTTTAGAAACAAAATGTCCTCTCTCCCCTCAATGTATTTCTGGAGGCTAAGATTCACATTTCAGGAAAGAGAATGGTGTGCATATTCTTTTAAACATTTAGTGGCAAATTATCGTGATTTGAACCTTCTTTTTGTAATACTTTGCCCTCTCGAAACACACTTTATGACGATTAAATAGAAATACATTAATAAATAGCTTCATCTGTTAGACATGTGGGTAAATTTCAAAAATAATTAGCACATGTTGGCATCACTGTCATAAATTAATGCCTGTTACATCATTTCCCTAACGAAATAAAAGCTGGTTGGAAAAGAAAGTCTCTTCATTAATTGTATATTCTTAAGTTGTTTCCAGCTATTCATTATTACCACACGAACGTAATTGTTAGCATAAATATGATTCAAGAAAATGTTACTTAGTTTTTTTTCCTGGTGCACAGCGGAAAGCTTCAGCAGTAGGCACAGTTGGTTATCTACACGGTGCGCAGAGTTTTCTATTATGATTAAGGTAGAAGTCCAGTTTTTAAAGTGTACTTTAAAACTGTATAGCATAGTATATTAGAACTCTAATATTCATGCCTTGAATTTTAATGCTTAAAACGCTCTTTGTTTGCATTAGAGAGTACAGAGATTGTTCTGGTATGAACTATTTCGTATTAAAAAAATTATATATCGCCATTCAAAAGCGAAAGTAATAGAACAGGCAAGTTCCTCTTGAAAGGATTTAATTTTTTTTTTTTTTAATTATTCCGGTATTTTATAGGAACTGTTGCTAGTTGAGATACCGAATAAAAAAATGTTGAAGATACATAAATTTTATTCTGCTGTATATTTTTTATTTGGTGTTTTAATATGCTTCGTTTTTCAGTATTACCTTTACGGTTTAAATTTAATTGTTATGTCTATTAGAATGATGTTCTTAAATTAATTCTGATTATTTCTGTATTCTGTAACTTTTTAGGAAAGACGGTCGATTTCTCAGTACAAAGCGATTACGATTTCGATGAAACTCTTTCAATGATGTCTAGAAGCAGTTCTGTTGCATCAATAAGCAGCTTCGATCAGCAATCGTTCCATGATGATGAAAGTTTTGCATCTGATCTCAGGTAAGAAATAAATTTTAAGCATCAGCTATAACTGCTATCTTTTTTTTTTTTTTTTTTTCTTAAATTCTTACTCAATATCCCGTAGCTTAATAACCGTAACTTAATTCCGTATCTTAATGATTCACTCGCAAAGGCTATTTCTGTATATTTACGACAAAAGTGCATTTCCAAATTTTCTGTAATACGTAGGCTTTTATGATTTGAATTTATAATTATATTGAAAAAATGCATTAACATCAAAATGATGGCTATATTAAAGTTCGATTGTAACTGTAGACTTCGATTCAAAAAATCGTAACATCAAAAAACAGCAAAAATTAGTTTTTCAGGGCAAGTTTTATTTCCAGTAGTTAGATATTTCAAATAAATCCAGTCTTATGAAAATAGCCTTGGTAATTCAGATTGCAGATGTGCGTAAGAATTTAAATTCATAACTAACTTTCAAATTGGAAAAGTATAACACAGGCCTTTAAAGAAACAAATCAACGCAGCTATGTTTTCTCAGTTAAGGCTTTTGGACGGCAATCTGGCCACAATAACTTGGAGCAAGAACATTCGGAATTTTACTATGTTTTTCTACTTCTGCGCTTTTTAATCATTATTTTGCGTTATTAGTTTTGTAGTTGAAAACTGTTGTTGTTACTCCTGTTAATTCTTCTACTGCCGATCTGAACCCATTCTAGATCAGGTTCATTCATCATGGCCAAAAGGATGAGAGCAAAGCGTTGATGGCAAAGATTTGGGACGCCATATAAAGTGGCAGGGCATTTTGCTCAGTACATTTCCAATTGCGATTGAGAACCCCCTTGGGAATGGAATTCTTGGGTTTTATACCTCTCTTCCCCTACCAGCTACTACTTCCTTTTTCCTCTATCATCTTTGATTTAATGGAGCTTTAAGTGCTCCTGCGCTAAAAAAACTTCTATAGATTTTCAAACATCGCTATCTTCTGCGTCATTCAAACGTGGGCCCAATGCTATGGCATTCATCTCCCCTAACTAATATCTTACTGAAAAGGTGTATGGTTCAACAAGACCTTTAAACCTTAATTCATACAACGGTAAAAACAGACAGATGACTTATCACCTTTTCCTACAGTAAGCACAAACTTAGATGAAGGTTTAAAATAAACCCTTTTTTAAAAAATTATTTATTTGTCAACCTGACAGCTACGCAAGCTATCCAATGACATAAAAGCCGCCACTTGCAGGAAACGTCGAATAAATGTTCAATAAAATTAAATTATTAAGTATACAGTAACACTCGTCCTCAGTAGTTTCACGAAACAATGATGGCTTGCGACGTTAAAGCCGATACCAAATTCAGTAACATGGATATCTAACGGAAGTGATCGGTCAGATGTAACCGCCAGAGGCTCTGTGTTTTAATACATTAATTAAATTTACAGTTTAGTAGAATTTGAGCAAAGTAGATTGGAAATGTAAGGCAAAATGATAATATAACTTGGTTAGTTAACATTATAAGGGATTTCATCTTACCATGTCTTCATGGTGTAATAGTCTTTGCGTATTCGAGAGGTCCGTGTTTCGAGTCCCGGCGAGGGTGTTGCTTATTTTTCCCATCTCCCGCTTCGACTGACTGACTGACTGATTAATTTATTGCCGGACTACCACACAGTGTGCAGTTTTTCCGGGCTCAATCAAATTTGCCACATGGGCACATCACATGGTACTATCTGCCCGTAGTATCCCAGAGGGAGCGGAAGAGGTGGAAAAAAGGGGTAGACCGAGACATCGCGCGATCATGGACAGCAAGTGGAACCGCTTCGAAATAACCTAGTGTCTTTATAGTGGTGCCCGAACTAAGAAAAAGGTGGCTGATAATGATCTCTCACCACTAGGTTTTGGCGATTGGGTCCCCTAATCCCCAGTCGGGGGAGTATATAAGGTATTTCTCCCGCATTTTGATGTCTCCTGCTTCACAATAACCTAATGTCTCTAGAACATAAAACCCTGCAAGGTGTCCAATAAAAATGAGTTACAACACATTTCACTCAGCTTTGATTTCAGCATAACCCTGTAATAATTTGCTGAGTCTGAGATTCCCAACTTTTTTCTTGCATCGACCCCTCTTAAAAGAATAGTTTTCTTCATCGACCTATTTACATTTTTCTATTAATATATAGCACAAATAATAATCATAATACAAATAATTGCTCACATGTAACGTAAAAATAATAAACTAAGAATATGAACAAACATTTCTGGCAAAAAAATGATTTATTAGACTTATGTTTAATTACGTTTTGCATTCTTATTATTTTTCATCTTAAAAATATTTAATAATTTTTATACATACCTTAAAATTATTTGGATATTAATAGCAATTTTTCAGACGCAAAATCACAGATACTAATTGCCTAAAAGTTCCGTTTTTAATGAATCTGATGACTGCGCTTAATGTTTTGGTGAAATTTTTTTTAACCCAAAAGGCGTTAGCCCAGAAGGGCTATTTATTTCGTTTTTTGCATTTTACGTCGAAAACTTTAAAAGTCTGAATCACTTTTCGAATTGTTGCCACCAAATATTATCGTCCTGTATTATATTTAAAGAAATTAAATAATGAAGAATCTGCTTAAATGTATGTATGTTGTATGTTTTTCGCATTGTGATAAAACAACGGTACCTAGAGCCATCCAATTTTGAATAACGTAAACCTCCTCCGAATATGGGCATCTGGAAGCCCCATTTTGAAATTTGTTTTATTATCTATTTCATATTTTGTCATATTAGGAAACTCAACGATTTTAAGCGAGCAATGGCAACACAGTACGGAAGAAAAAGAATTGTCTCTAGCGAGCAAGACTGTGTATCGGAAATTCTAAAGATACGTTCTTTTTAAATTATTTTGCGATATTGCTGCAGAATTTAATTTTATAGTTTAAGTGCGAAGAACATGATATTTAATAAATAAAGGTAACACACAAAACGTTAAAAAAACGCCCCTTTTGGGCATAATATAAAATCTGAAAGCTTTCAGTTTTTTTTATTTTTTTATTTTTTATTTTATTTTTCCCCCATTTGACATAAAATTGCTTAACTTAATTCTTAAATCACCTCGTTCAGAAATATTCTACCTGTTTATTTTTTTCCGTGGTCATTTATTGACTTGACTAAAACTTGCTTCCATTGTGTAAGAAGAGGAAAAAGCAGTAATAAAAACAACAACTTAAGTCTAGGATATTTCTCTCGGATGATTTTTAAGTTCCAAAAGTTAACATATTCACCCACATAGCACAAAAACATCCTTGGGATATCCCAAAGATGTTGCTCGCGGGATATGCGCACATCCTCAGGACATCCCGCAATATCCCGCGAACCTCCTAAACACCTCCTCCCGAGTGCTTAATGTCACATCCCGGGATATCCTCAGGACATCCTAACCAAGTCCCATCGACAACGTGCGGGATGTTATTAGGATATGAACTCCTACTTACTACATCCTCAGGACATCCCGGGATATCCCACAAACTTCCTAAGCACATCCCATTATATCCTAAAAACATCCTATCTATGTCCCATCGACAGCATATGGGATGTTATTAGGATTTAAAGTCCTACTTACTACATCCTCAGGACATCCCGTAATATCCCAATTTCCTCCTAAACTCATCCTCCTGAGCGCTTAATGTCACATCCCAGTATATCCTTAGGACATCCTATCTACGTCCCACCGACAGCATATGGGATGTTATCAGGATTTGAAACACTAGTTACAATATGCCTTTAACCTCTTAAATACATACTCTCAACTGTTTAGTGTCACTTCCCAGTATATATACAGAGGAAAATTCCAGTGAAAGTATGTGAAGGTGTGATGATCTAAAACCTACTTTTTTTACACAGATAGTCTCAAATCCTTCTCCTATGGTTACTATGGAAAAATCAGAAATGTTGAAAATATTTATACAACTTATTTTGTTTTTAAATCTGAATTTGTGAATACATTAAAACTGAGCAAGGAAATTAAAATGAATTATTAATACAAAATATTAAAACTGAAAATTTTGCTTTTATTTTTAAGATATTAAAAATCTTTTGATCATTTTTAAACATCCAATAGCCCCCAAATTGAATTATTCATAATTAAATTGTTTTACAAAATCAGTTTCTAATTTCAGTTAATTTGTATTAAAAATTGAATAATAAAATTAGCCATTTAATAATCTTTACATAAATGAATCATCTTTCTTTAAAACATGTAAGGAATTTATAGTGTTTTGATGACACTGTTGGGAAATTGTTAAAAGGAATAAATTGTATTTTTAAAACTAAATCAATTCCTAGCCTCAGAATAAATAAATATGTTTTCGTAACATGAGAATGCTGCAGGCTTTTTTATATATTTAATATTTAGTTGTAAAAATTCGACATTATGTTAACAATTCTTTATATCATTCAAAAGGTAACTCAAGAAGCTCTTCTAAAATTCTATCTTTCTGCTCACACAATTAAAAAAAAAAAAAAAAAAATCTGAAAGGCCTCAGATTTTAGCAGTCACTCAAAGAGGCTAAAAGTTTATGAATGCATAGATTATCAATACAGATGGGGCAGTGGAAATAGCAAAACATTTTATAAGATACTGACACCAGAAAGTTATATATCTTCTATATATTTGAAAAATGAAGAAATATATCATATAATTATGTAGAAATATTAAAATGTTTTCAATTAGATATATCATGAATTAAATGCATTTTAAATCAATCAGATTAAAAATTAAAAAAAGCATTGTTAAGAACTGTGTGCAATGCTTTTAAATAGCTTGGCTTGTTAGTCAATAATATATTAGATTTTAAAGATAAATATGTTAAATTTTGCCAAATGGCAAGACTTGAATGAAAAGCGAAACAAGTTTACGACTGACGATATGAAGTCATGTTTCAAAACTAATAGCCCTTTTAGATTAAAAAAAAAGTTCCTGAAAATAATTTGCAATGGTTCATTGGTATTATTTTATGGCAAAATTCAGTAAAATGA